AAAGAAGCGGCTGCAACTGCGACAGCGGATTCGCCGACGGTGCGCAAGCAGTAAGGAGCAATATGCTCCGAAAAACATCTGGTTGGTTAACTAGCTTGCGACCAGTAAGGAATCGTCCAATTCTAAACGCCCATTGGTCCCTTGACAGATGTGAACATAACGAAAAGGGCAATATCTGTGTTCTGCATATGTTGATGATGAATATGTATCCACTGAACTAGATTATTCGAGTGTCTCACAGGACGATTCATCATACGAGATGAATGCCTTTTTTAAATTGAGCTTCAGAAATGTCCATACCGCTCACTTGTAAGAACAGCTTGCCTGATCATTTATTGTTTTACACTTCGGCAGTGAAACCTCATCTTTAACTTAAATTTCAAAGCTCGTCATCAAATTAAGTGACATTAGAAACATATTATGATTTTTCTTGATGCCATGATTTTGGACACAATGGTAATCTGATTGCACAGAGTAATTGTTTTATGACCACCACTTCTACCGTACCACAACGATCTTCCTCTGGGTTAAATGAAGCTGTTGGCACGAAGGGACTTGCGTACAGTAGTATCAAGCAGGAGCACAACGATTGAAAGAGGTCCTAAAGACGTCCCCGTGTCCTCGATATGTCATTTTCATGTTAACTGAAAAAAAAATAATACGTCAAGGCACAATTTTGTTTTTCGTGTTTGCACTAGAATGAGTTATTTTCTAGAATCGTTTGCAGTAGTCACTTTCTCGTTGTCTTTCCTTCTCGGAGTTGTACGTGCATGCAGCTCTTCGCCGAACCCGTTCTTCAACGGAGTGACTACTGCTGTCACGCATTATTAGCCTTCACTGACCTGAAAATCAAAAGAGGTCTGTAACGCAGCGGGTAAAAATATAGGGCAAACGAACTTCTGGATTTTTCGCAAAGCTTCCTGCTTGGATAACTTTTAAGCTGGCTGGATTTTATTTCCATACATCGGGATTTTCAAGGACAACGGACATAGCAGGTCGCTACTCAAGTTCGAGTTTACCAGGGGGATACGAGGTGTCGGTTTATATCAGGCTTTAGAAAACGTTGTTCACGTGTAGAAACAGTCCCGATAAGACATAATGGTTTAGGGCTTGTTTAATTACGCCAAATTTTAAAGTGATCGGCGTCAACCATTAAGAAACAGAAGAAATGAGGGAACGTGCAAAACTTCCATCAAATTTGCTGTCTAACTTTAGCACTATTTAAATGGTTGGCTACACGATTGCAGGATAAGCAGGGCGAGTTCTTCCTGTGAAAGAACGATGGATGAATTTCACGAGTTTGTTGTTTACAGTAAAACAGAGTAAAAATATGAATATCTGAGTTTTCAAAGTATAGGTGGTAGAGGTGGCAGCGCAACAATGGCCTC